CGGGAAACGGGAGGCGTTCGCAGGGCTGGCCGGGCCCCACGGCCCTCGCGGGAGGAGCGAGGTGGCCGTCACCAGCGTCCGCCTGCGCAGTGACAGACCACGTTAAATGGCCTCATTTCATAGGTTAGACTAACACGCACCGCAGGTGACTTGTCCCGGGCGTACAGTTCTGTGGATTTCAACGCGAGCATCGTTTCTTGGAGCTGCCACCCACCACGTGAGGACCCAGCCCGGAAACCTGGCCTCTGGCTTTCACTTTGTGGTCACTCCGTGTGCTTCCCTGTCCCCGGCCCTGGCACCCGCCACTTTGCCGTCTGCGTTGTGGCTTGATCTTTTGAAGAACGTCACGTAGATGTGACCGCACAGTATGAAGTGTCCTTAGGACGCCTTCTTAAACATGGCGAGACGCCTGAGTGTCGCACGCGTCACGACCTGGCTCCTTTTTATCGCTGAGTTGTGTTCTGCTGCCTGGACACGGCACAGGTGTCTGCACAGCACAGGTGTCTGCCGCCACCAGCTCACGAGCACCGGGTCACATAGACTGAGCGGTCACCAGCCGAGCTGCTACAATCATCCATGTACGGGTTTTTCTTCATGGACATAAGTTTTCATTTAAGATTGAAATTACTTTTCCCTCAAAAAATGGGTGACCAAGATATTCGTTATAAAAGCCACTTCCCCAAAGACGAAGCGGGATTGCTGGGTCGTGCGCTAAGCACACGATCGGCTTTGTGAGAGCCCGCCGGGCTGTTTCAGAGTGACAGTCCCGCCTGGCGCCTGCCTAACGGCTAATGACATTAAGCATCTCTTCATCTGCTTCTTTGCCTTCTGCCCGTTCTCTCTAACGAAGCGCGTATTCGAGTTTTGTCCATTTTTTTTAGTTTTATTTTAACCATTATGCTTTGAGAATTCTCTCCATATTCTGGTTTCAAGTCCTTTGTCACACGTGTGATTTGCAAATATTTTCTCTCATTCCGTAGCTTTTGTAAAACAACATTTAAATTCCAATCGAGTTCAATTTATCGATTTTTTTGGTGGGTCGTGTTTTTAGTGTCAGGTCTAAGAACTTCATCCTACCCCCAGTTCGTGAAAATTTTCTCTTATGTCTTCTTCGAAAATTTTATATTTTTATGCTGTAGATAGAGACTTATGACCCATTTTCAGTTAATTTTTGTATAAGGTGTGACTTTGGGTTGTGGTGCATTTTTTTTGGATATGAATGTCCAATTGTTGCCACACCATTTGTGGAAAAGACTATCCTTTTCCATCGAATTGTCTTTGCACCTTTGTCAGAGGCAGCCGATCGCGTTTGTGGTCTGCTTCCGGGCTCTGCTGTGTTCCGCCCGATCCCACGCTGCTTGGTTCCGATGGTTGTACAGGACACTGTAAAATCGGGTGACAGAACCCTTCTGACTTGACTCTTGGTCACAGTTTGGGGTATTGTGGCTCACTTGCATCTCCCTGTGGCTTTAGAGTTGGTTTGTCTGTATCTGAACAAAACCGTGCTTGGGTTTTGCCCGGAGCCGCGTTAACTCTGTAGACCAGTCTGGGGGGAGTGGCGTCTTCACGGTGGCTCTTTGTGGCCTCGGAGGCGGCTCGTCTCTCCACTTACTGAAGCCCGCTTTGATTTCTTCCTCCAGCAGTTTGAGCATAAAGATCCTGTACTTGTTTTGTTAGATTTATACCTAATATTTTATTCCTTTGATGCTACACATATGGTACTACATCTTCGCTCTTTTTTAATTGTCCATTGTTAGTGTGTAGGAATATGGTGGACTAAATGCCCTCTAAGCGACAGACCATTACGACCACAGCATCACAGCACGGTTGTAACTATGTGACCACATCAAATGACCCGTGCGCCTGGCAATCTGTAGCCGAAAATGCTGAGTCCTCCTTCAGTTAGTCTCACCCGCCGGCAGCTGAACGATGCTCCGCGCCGAGCGACCTACCTGCCTGAGACCCACGCGCCGGGCTCTGTGCGAACCGTGATCTCGAGAGTCCGCGTGTCGATTCTTCAAACGGTTACCGCCGTCGCAGGCTTGTCCGGGGCCAGGTGCTCTTCCGCGGCCAGTTCCGACCCCCGATTTCACGGCTCCGAGAGCAAACATGCGACCTACCGACTTCGCGTGTTCCCCCCAGAATACTGGTGACTAATGTAGTCATTAAAAAATGACAGAAATTCACAGTGTTTCTTAGCATTCAAAGCAGACACACGTGATTCACACGCGAAATGCCGTTGCCCACGTCACACGTCGCAAACCGTCTCGCAGCGTACGTAAGCTTTAACGAGACGACCCTGCACGGGTCGACGATGCCTTCGCTTCCTTCAAAACCTCTGCGTAAAGTTTAAGACATTTTTCTAGTTTAATCACAGGATGGGTGAATTAAAGGTACGTGATCCTTCCGTGACTCAAAGCACAGCGCACAGCATGCAGAAAAATGGTACGTAAACTCCAAGGGAAGAGTAAGCTATTCTAAAATTGAGCTGTTTTAATTATTTCGAGCCATTAGAATGGTATCTAATAAATACCTTCACCAGGCCAGTGAGGCACTGAAAGATGTTTGCCTCAAAGTAATTTAAACGAGTTTCCTGGCTCATCCACCGGGTGTTTTAAATCTCAGTTTCGCACTCGCTGTCCCCTGGAGGAGAGCAGGCCAGGCTGGCTGGCGGGGTGACCCTGAGCTCAGTGAGTCCAGAGGGCGCTGGGCAGGGGCAGGACAGGCCGAGGACAGCCAGGCCGTCAGGCTCCTGCCAGCCCCGCCGCCCGCCGCCTGCTGCTCCCGCCCGTCACCCGCTCAGTGTCCTCCGTGCGGGACGTTCGAGTCCCCCGCTGCTCCCGGGCCAGAGGGGGAAGGGACGCACACGCGGTCACATGGCTGGTGCTCCCTGCCGGGACGTGACGGACGCGGTCCGGGGACAGGTCACAGTCGGAGTGGGCCCAGGCGAGCTGGGGAAAGCGTGCGCAGGACATGCCTTGAGGAGGGCTCAGACAAGGCCGGGGAGGGCCCCGCCGATGGCCGGAAGCCCTGGACGCACGGCCACCTCTGGTGAGAGGCAGGGCCACGCAGCGGGACGGTGGCTGCTGGGCACGGGCCAGAGCGGGGCAGGTGCCCAGCAGAGAGGGCGGCAAGGGCACTGTGGCCGTTGTTCAAAAGTGCTCTGGGCGGCAGTCCCCGGTGGGCACTGGACGGGAGCGGAGAGCAGGGACGAAGGCCGTTGCCTGTGTTTCTGAAGCCTTCTGTGCCCCCGGGGCAGAGAATGACTCAGGGACGTCAGGAGGGACGCCTTGGCTCCACGGGACCTGGAGGAGGAAGGGCTTTGCACTCGAAGGGTAAGCGGGCCTGGACAGCCAAAGGCAGGCCTGGCGGGCACGCAGACCCCTGGTCGAGAGGACAGCGAGGTGGCTGGCCCCCGCAGGCTCAGACAGGAAGCAGGGAACTCCTGGACGCTCAGGGTGGGGCAGTGTGGCCTCAAGTATCCGAGGGCCCCCCAGGCCAGGGGAACGAGGCTGGGTTTGGGGGCGCAGAAGCAGGTAGTGGCTATGCAGGGGAGCGGAGGGGACAGTCAGGCTGCCGGCGGGCTCAGACCTCAGGCCATGACACAGGCCGGCCGCCAGGGCCTGGCATGGACTCGAATGGCAGCCGCGATGAGGCGAGCCCAGTGGGGTGCCACCGTTGCCCTTAAATGTCTTAGGCTCCAGAAAGGCTAACTTCAGACTTTTGGGAGCCTAAATGTCTTCTGACGAGAAGGTGCTCTCACCACAAGGCGCAGAAAGCAGGTGATGGAGGGCGTTCGCGACCTTGGCAGTCACCTGATTCAACATGGCTCCCCCAGAAGGTGCCAAGCCTGCCCATGACCTTCTGAACAGCGTCCCCTGCTTAACTCGCTCACAGTGCATGTGTCCCAGTGGCTGGTGTGGGCGGCAGGGGGAAAGCCACCAAGGCCACCTGGCAGGCCGGCTCCTCTCGTGGGACCTGGCCCGGAGGCCCCCTTAGCGCGGTCAGCCGAGGAGGGACACGTGGCGGCTGCAAGCACTTCCCTTACTGACCTTGGAGCTCGTGCTCCACAAAGGATCGCTGTCCACCCCACTTACCGCTGACCGTCCGGGGGTTCTGCTCCGTGGGTCGGGGACAGGCCCTGGGCGCGCACCCGCCCGGCGTCCCCCGCCATGCTCGAGATGTGGACGAGGTCGTCCCGAAGGGGCAGACGCCGTCGCGCTGTGACCCGAGCCGTCGGTTTCAGAGGCTGGCTCACGTGGTGCGACACCGACGCCCCTGAGCTGGCTCGTCTGGGGTCGGGGCTGTGTCAGGTGTCACTCCCGAGTTTTCCTTTGTCCGGATCAGAAGTGGGGAAACGATGTTTTCCTCTCGATGCTTTGCCGACCCCTCTCTTAGCCGGAATCATATTTAAACACCCCCGTCCCCTCTGCCATGCTCACGGGACATCGGGGAGCCAGACACAGACTCAGTGATGGGGACACCTCCGGGCACCGCGAGTCCCTCACCTAGAGATCCTGCCCGAGTCGGTGGCGCGAGCAGCATCCGGCCCGATGCTGCTTCGAAGAGCTCGGACGGGCCGGGAGTGGCGAGGCGGCGCCCCAGGACGGGGCGGGGGGGACGTGGCCGGCCTGAGGACCTGCGCCCTGTCTTCCAGGACACACACCACGCGGTGAGGACCACGCACTACGGCTCTCTGCCCCAGAAGGCGCAGCACGGCCGGGCCCAAGACGAGAACCCCGTGGTCCACTTCTTCAAGAGCATCGTGAGTGGCCGCCCCTGCGGCATGGGCGGGGAGGCGGTGGGGGCACAGCGTGTGGGGGGCTCTGAGCTCCACCCCGGGGGGCGCGTGTCCCAGATGCTCTGGGGTGACGAGGCAGAGTGCAGGGCTCTGTGTGATGCGTGAGGACAGGTGCGCTCAGACCTTTGTCGAAGCCCTTAGAACATGCAGCAGAGGCCACTGTGATCGCAGCCGCGGACTCCGGGCATAACGAGGCGCCGATGGCGGTTCCCAGTGGGAGCCGAGGACTCACGCCCACCAGACGGGGCCGGGGAGCCTGTGCAGGCCGAGAGGGCACGTGGCAACTCTGTCATGCCTGAGCGTTGTTTCTAGGAGCCCGAAACGGCTCTAAAAAGTAAAGTCTTACAAACGAAAGCAAAACCACAGGCTTCTAATCATGAGCTTTCTGTTCAGTGGCTTCTAGAATGACACTCCCCACGTTGATGAGTGACAGGAGCCACGGAGCTGAGGGCACGGTTGTGAAGCTGTGACTGCCAGGGGACAGCTGACTGGCACGCGGAGGGGGCCCTGGCAACGCGCCCTGTCCTGCGGCGTGCCGCTGTGTCACGGGGACACGTCCCGGGGCTCGAACACGGTCTCGATGGCCCGGGAGACCCGCGAGGCCCCGGGTGTTTCCAGGTTCCCGGACCCTGTGCTGGTCACTCCGCTAGGACAGACACGGGAGGCCGGGCGGGTGGCCGTCCCCACGCTGTGGGTACGAGGCCCTCTCAGCACCCGCGAGCTGCCTGGAAACGACAGGGACCCTCGCCACGGGGGGCCGCTGGGACGCGGGGTGACCCCGCAGCTCACTGTCCCCTGTCTTTGCAGGTGACACCCCGCACGCCGCCTCCATCGCAAGGAAAGGTAAGGCCCCCGAACCTCTGACTACCCCCTCTATTTGTGGACCGTCCCCGAGCCCCTCAGTGTGCAGTGACGACGGCTGGGCCCGTGGCCGCCCGACTCCATCCCCGGCCCCTGCGGGACCCCCGGGCGCACGCGCGGCCTCCTTCTCAGCTGCACGGACCACTCTGGGCCCCCGGGCGCCCCGGCCCGAGGCGAACCCCGGCCTCCTGGGCGGCCTCCGCCGAGCCCACGGAAAGGCCACGGGGGGCGGGAGCTGCCATCACGGGGGGTGGGAGCTGCCATCCCCGCTTCTGCTGTCTTCGTCAAAAGAACTTCTTCCTGCACTGACCCAGTGTCCTTCTTTCTCTCCCTCATCCAGGGGCGAGGACTGTCCCTAAGCAGATTTAGCTGGGTAGGTGACGCCCGCGGCCATGCAGCTCCCCCCGCCCTCCCGGCCCAGCCCCTGGACCCTTGTGTTCGTCTCTGTTTCAGCTGCTCAATGGCTCACGCGCTTTGCCGCCCAGCCCAGCTCGCCCGCCGCGGCGTGAGGCCTGCGGTGCCCACGGGTGCCTCCCCCGAGGGGGAGCAGGTGGTTTCTGGGGGCGCCGCACCCCCTGGCATCGTCCACGCCCTGCTTCCTCCCCGCCCGCCGCAGGTCCCACCAGGCTCTCCACCACGGGGGACACACGTGCTGTCCACCCTGGGCCGCCGGGCTCGGGGGCTCCGTCCGTGATGACCGACTTGGCCCGGGAGCCTTCGGCGTGTCTGTCTCAGTAATAACTAGAGCTTGGCCGTCAGCCGTCTGGAATCCTTCTTAGGAGTTCTAGGCTTTTGAATCGGAGGACAAAGTTTTTGCGATGCTTTAAATAGGTCATTTGTTCGCTTTCTAGATACTAATGAAATTTGGTGTGTGAACCAGGAGATGCCAGACTTACAGACCTTAGTGACTAGTATGTATGAGATGTGGTTCCTACTTTATAAAAATTATGATTTCAGAATGAAAAGGAAGAGTAACCAGCAACCTCTAGGCCAGGAATTGTGCCTGTCCTGGGGACACAGAACCCTTATTCTCTAGTACGGGGCCCGTGACACGCGATGCTCAATTAAAAAGCATCAAAAAAAAAATGAATT